CGGGCCAGACCCCACCGCACCGCACGGCCGGCGGGGAGGGGAAAGAGGTTTTGCCAAGAGACAGAGCGGGAGGAAGGCAGCCTGGGGTGGGATGGCTGCCAAGGCCGCCGACGCCTGCGTCACGGGAGAGGCAATCCGGGCTCAACATCTGAACCTCCGGGTTTTAAGACAAAGGGCTTTTATTCACTTGGAGACAAAGAAACCCCAAAAGTCCAGGCTCCCGGGGGCAGAGGAGGGGGCCGCCCGCCCGGTCTCCCCTCCTGCCGCAGGGCCCCGTGGCGGCACCTCCATCCCACACCCCGAAAACGGCCTTCGAACGGCTTTGAGGGAAGAAAGGGCATTTAAGCAAACATACACCACACTCCTTTTCAGACTTCTTAATGAGCCTTGGAAAGCAGCTCCGATGAGGATATAATAACCGAAGGGCAAACCATCCTATTGCAGTGCCTAATTTGAATTTAGAAGATGGGACGGAGGCAAAGTTTTGCCCCGCACACGTGAAGCATCGCGCCAGCAGCTGATGGGTGGATGGAGGAGGGTGCTTCGGGGTTTTCCAGGCTGGAAATGAGCGTCGGGATGACACAGCTGTCCTGCACGTCAGGGCAAGGCAGTATATTTAGTCCACACACTGCTGAAATGCATAAAAATCACCATTTAATTCTAAAATATCTGCAAAAATTACCGTTGGAAAAAATACTTTACAAAATGCATTTCCAAAGTGCATGGGAAGAATAATTGAATTGTTCTCTACCACATTGATATTTTATAACATGTATTATCATGTATGACCTAAACATGTGATGATATAAAGTATATGACGTAACACCTATGATATAATATCTACGGGAGCGACAGTGAAGGGTGGTTTGACGAAGGTAAAGCAGCTCTGAAGAGAGCGTAATTTCTTCTCGCTAATGCCATTTGATGGATGTACTGAGCAGGGCGGCTTCAGCAGCTGTGCGATACAAGTTTAATTTTGTTCTCTGTAACCAGCAAGGCCAAGGAAAAAAAAGCCCGTTTGTTCCTGGGGCCTGGAGTATGAGCACTGTGTTAAAAAGAAGATATTCATTCACATCTGAAAGGGATTTCCATCTGGCCCATCTGAGTCAGCTCAATAAAACGAAATGTCAAGTCAGTCAAGAGATTAAAGAGGGGGAAAGCCAAAATACTGTATTGCGAGAGCGATACGTGGCAGGATAGGCTTGAGAGAGCGCTGAATGGCAAGGGACAGGTTAACCGCAGGGAGGCTGTCCTTAATTGAATACCTTGTAGTAGCTATTTTTGAGTAACGAACCGTCTGTGCCTGATGGGGTGCAAGGGTGCAAGCCTTAAAGCGTGCGCGGGAAACGCGGCCCCGCGACACTCCCCGACCCCTCCCCGCTCGTATTTGGGACAGCGCAGGGTCCCCCTTATCGAACTTCGTCATTTAACCGCTTGCAGGTGACGGTCAGCATCTGCCCCCGGCCGAGCCCGAAGACCCCCGGCCCCACGGGGCAGCGCCCAGCCCGCGCTGGCCACGACGCCAAGGCGGCCTTGAGCCAACGCCGGTGCTGTCCGTCCCCCGGCTGCAGGCGCCGCTTGCGTAGGAAAAGCCCTGTTTGAACAACGTTAGCGCTGCGATTTAACAAAAGGGCAAGAGCAGCGATGAAAAAGGAGTAGTTCTTTGTTTTGCATTAAATACCCCTTAAAAATAGGCACGACCTCCCCCTCGAGCTGAGTCTCACCGCCTGGACCGACCCGTGTCCCGCAGCGGCAGGAGGGACCTCACTCAGGAACCTCCTCCCCGTCGCCCGCTCCGGTGCTGCTCGGGGAGGCCGTGCACAGACCTACCGCCCCGGACAGCATTTTTCACACAGTTTCCCAAGAAAGCATTAGCTGTTCCTCTCCTTTTGCCCAGGAAAATGGTATTTTGGAGCCAGGTCGGGTGATGATTTGGGTGACAGACCCCCAGTGAGCCCTCGGCCGAGGTGAGGGTCTCCGTCCTGTCCTGCTCGGTTTATAAAAGTTTCTACATTCAGTTTATAAAAGTTTCCCTTTTTATAAAATGATCCGCTTGAATCAAAATGTGATTTTCATTTTACGTTGAAAACTCAATTTTAAATTTTTTTTTTTTGTCTTTTTAATGTCTAAACTATTTAGTAAGTAATGCAAAACCAACGTAAGAGTTTATCTTTTTTTTTATTAAGACAATCCCACAGCTGGAAAATGAAACATCCTAGATTACATAAGTGACTTCAAAAAAACTCTAGAAAAAAATCTTTACAAATTTACATTTGTACAATACAAAAACTAACAGCTCATTGCATATAAATATTACATTTGGTCTGCCAACAAGTGGCATCAAAATCCCTGAAGTATTCATTTAAAGGGACCTGAGATAGCGGATGTGAAGATATGGGCATAAATATCACCTGGGGGAAAAAAAAAATCAATATAGAAAGTAGACATAATTCTAATAGTTTTGTGCATTTTTGGAGTATTTTAAATCATCCAGAACACGACCTGGAGAGCCTAAATCACGTGAATTTCATCGCTCCAACATCAACTGGTATTTCTAAATGAAGTCTGCTCTAATGATCCATGGAGGAATGAATAGCCTATATTAGTATTTCTAGAGAAAAATAATCATCGGGCTTTGATTTCTGAGTATATCCGAGCAGCCACCACTCTCCGAGGAGGCATTTTCAGGAAGAGAAACGGAGGATTTTGATTTTGTCTGCCAAAGAGCGGTGCAGCCGCGAGGCAGGCGGGAACACCAGCCCCTCCCGCGAATATTCCGGCGGGACCTCGGCTCCCCCGGCCCCCGGAGCAGCTCCTCTCCCCATCCTCCCTGCTTCTCCCAGACCCAGAAATCGGGGAGATAGGCAGTGCTTGCCAATTAAAAAACCAAAACCGGAGAAACTGCTCTTAATCGTCCACCAGTCTAAATATTTTCCAAATATTTACACGCTCGTCAATTCCCAGCTGCGGCTGCAGTTATCTCCCAGGAGTATTAACTCGCAAGCGCAGCACTCAGCTGCTCGGTTTTACTTTAAATTCTCACAAACTCTTATCAGGTACCCACATCCATGCACATAAATGTATTTAAGCACCATTTTTATAACACTAGAGTTAAGGCTGTGACAGCAATTCCACTGGAGATCTAATTGTTTCAGGGATTCATAGCACAGTTGTGTACGTTTGCTGTGGGCTGAACGTGACATATTAAAAATGTACAAGCTTCCAACAGGTCTTTGCATTTCTAATACTAAAAAAGACAACTTTTAGACTAAATTTTGCAGGCTGTTACTTACTGTACATAAAGGAGTTTTTTTTTCCCCAATGTGTAAACCTCTGATATACTAATATTTGAAAATTATCTATCGCACATGCGCAGTAATTTTCTATAATACATACTTGTAAGAACACAATGACAGCTCCCTACAATACTAAATATAGATTTATCCTTGGATTGTTAACTGCTCCTTCAGTCTATCACGTAAATAATTAGCGTTTTATAAAACTCTGCATGATGGTTTTAAAAAATAAAATAAAATCAAGACATGTAAACACACAAATACATTTTTAAAACACTGACTTCATGACACAGACCAACGATAGCAGGACACGCCAAGTCAGGGCTGACAAGACATCCTCAAACCTACAGCTACGCAGTTTTCCCTGTCATTCACCGCTCGGACTGAAGATGAAATACTCATCAAGTTCTTATCAGAAATTAGTGATTTAAACTCATTTTCTCGTGTTAATACTGTGTGATTTCGAACGGTTGTCAATAACATTCCAGAGACGGCCAGGAGCAGCCTTTTCAAATGCTTGACAAGGTTCATCTTGCTTTTTGCGGTCAAGAGAGCCTCCAAACATCGTCAAAAGCAATACATTGTAGTCGGTCTTTCCACATTTTTTAAATTACTTGAACACTCTCTTTACCACGCACCCGGTGTCAGTTCTTTTCAGTGCTTTAGGAACTACACAGTCTTCCTGCTTTCGTGCAGGAGAAGCAGCTGAGGTGTACGTTTACGAAAACGTTCAGGGAAAAATTAAAATACGCAACGGGACGTAAAGTTTTAAGCAGCCAAAAATCCTCCACAAATTATTTCTGTCTAGCTTGTTCATCTGCAGGGTTGGGGGCGATCGGGATAAGGGGGTGGCCTCTGCTTAGTTTACGGAGAAAGGAGTGATAGAAAGATAGGGAGGAGTGATAAAACCGCCCAGACCCATCCAAGTTCAAGCACCGACATAAAAGTTTCACGGGTTATTTAAAACAGAAATATCTCGTGAGGCTGGAAGCACACGACTTCTGCAAGGGTTACATTAACTGCAATTCACATAGCAAGGGGGGGGGGGAAAAAAGGAGTAACTCAGTAGACACGGAGCAGACGCGTTAAGGGACGCCAGGTGGGAGAAGTGCTGTTTTACGGCGCTGTGTGTAAGGCAGCGCGGAGGGAGCCCTCCCGCCGCCGTGCCTCCCTGCGACCACCGCCATCAGAGCAAGGGAAGGCACGTGCTGCCCCGTCTGACCTGGCAGCACTTCCACTCGGGGTGCGGGCGGCCACCGAGGCGCAGAGCGGCCGAGAAGCCAGCCCGCAAACTTTCCATCTTCGTTAAATCCACCTCCAGCAATCTGGGAACGTTGCTAGCAAAGCAAGGCAGATATAACAAATATGGAAAGTCTTGGGGGAGAAAAGAGCGATAGAAAGCATTACATCTTACAGTCTAACCGAAATAAAATTCATCAAGATACCACAAGTTTCCAAAAGAGTATCCTAAATAACCTACAGGGGCAATAAAGGGAAGCTAAAGAAAGAGGGGCAGAGCATGGCAAAGAGGAAAACAAAAGGTGATGGAGAAAATAAAAAGCAGGCAAAGTTTGGGCCGAACCGAGACAACAGCGCATCGCTACTGCAGAACAAACTTCGTCATTCATGCCCTGGTTCGGGAAGAAATGGGAGCGCTACAGGGACAGCAGATTTGTAGCCAGGAGAAATCCGAGAACAAAGATGCACACGAGACTTTCAGCCCCATCTCCAGAGAGGACGGAGCGCGTGGGGCTCACGCTCCGCTGCGAGTAAAGCCCCTCGGGGCGCGAGCCCTCTTTTCCAAGGTGTCTCCGAATGCCCTCAAGTCCCCCGGCAACTCGGGAGAGGGATCATGCACCACTGCACATCTAGAGAAAACTCTGAAGCACCGATGCCCGAGAATTAACCCTACAGCAGCAGAGGAACCCCTGGCCTGCCCGCACGCCTCGTTAGCCTTCAGGAAGCCGATACATAGTCAGACCTTCAAAAACCCTTTTCGTAGGCAGAGTTTTGGAGTTTTTTGTTAAAAGTGCAAGGAGGGAGACTGTGCTCCTGACTCTGCAACACACACCGGGCAGTGCAGCCTGCTGGGAGCTCGGCAACTTCGTGGGGCGCACCCGGGTTTTGGAGCAGGGACCGAGGCGGTACAAGGTTTAAATAATTTTACTGCTTCTGCTGCACCCGTTGGGTTGATGCTAAGTTTTCTGCAACCGTTAAGTGGCTCCTAATAGGATTTGGGTTTTGAGAGAAAGTGTCCAAGTTACTACGCAATTATAATTATTCCACAGAACAAGGCTATGAGAAATCAATTGCCTAACTCAGAGAAAGAATACAGATACAAAACCAAGAAAAAAATGACATCTCTAAAAACAAGTTATTTCTTTCATGCTTATAAAAAGGTTCTTGTGCACAAAAAAAAGCTTTTTTTTTTTTTTTTTTTACAATAAGCAATAGTTCTGTTGTTCTAGCACACCCTGCTGTCTAGCTCTTAATCATGTAACACATTTGATTAATACTTACGCCACAGCAAAGTGATGCTTCACTGTTATCTTCACAGTACTTCATTACATAGAAAAGATACATTTAATTTCATATTTAATATTATTCTAATTGCTGCTAAAATACACAAACTTATAAAATGATTTCTCCGGAATCCACGTGTTTTATCTCTCCCCAACCCCTACACAAAATAAATAAGTAAGTGGATCTTCGGCCAGTCAGAAATATATGAAAAGCAGTTCTTTTGCATTTCAAGATTTTCAGGCTTTAGAACAGAAACCATAGTGTTTACATTAGCTCAACAGGACTGATCTAAAAGGGGTATGATTCTGACTATGGACTGATGCATACATGCTATTCCTGGTTACCATATGTAGAAGGACCAATCAGTCAAAGAAATAATACATTTCTTATAAATATATATGTGTGTGTATATATATACATATATATGAGAGAGATGATAGGACAGGAGTTTATATGTTAAAGCCCAACACAGAACTAGGAGAGCCTCTGCACTTTTTTTTCCTCCCATCAAAACACAACTGAATCAAGTCCAGAAATGCATTACGGACGATGCAAAACATTCCTTAAAAAATGAAAAGTGTGATTTTTGTACTGTACCATAAACTCATATTGATGCTCTGAGCAATTTAGGATATACTCTCCTCCATCACAAAACTAAACCTCTGCATTTTTTCAAGTCATTTTGCATCTAACTAGAATTTTTGGAAAGCGAGATAAAATAGCTAGTGCTTAGTATAGAAAGCCAAAAATTAAATTCCTTCTGCATCTGAGAATATACATGGGTCACTCTTTGCTGCCTGAGGTTTTCCAGAATTATTGACCAAGCTGTGCACAGAAGAACTTAAGGATATTGGATGAAAGTTAAGAAAAAAAAACCCAAAAAAACCCACAACCAAAAAAACCCAACCCTTGAAAAACTCCACCAAAACTCTCTAGTCTCTTTTTTCGTTTGTTCTCTCTGTGTAATCTAACTCACTCTCTTAGCCAAGCTAGAACTGTCAGACTCGTTTAGACAACGGGAGAAAAATTGAAGTCCCATATATATTCCAGCCAGACCCTAGGACGTAAGCGGCTGCTCACCTCCAGCTCGGCCCACGCAAACACCTGTGTCTGTTCACCGAGGAGCAAGGCTACAAATGTCGCCACATACTGTACTATCACTACCAAAATGGTTTCTGTTTTCAAGTTAGCATTTTTCAGGAGAAGAGGAGTACAGTGCAACACGAATTCTCTTCTGGAAGCTTGAGACACAAGGGTCCGTCTGGAGGATGTGAGCAGGAGCTTATCCGTACTGCCAGCCACCAGAGGTACCAGAGCTCCGTCCAGCTCCCTCGTCACCTTCAAGGGGCAAATTAAACCAAACACGGATTTGCACCGGGCAAGTGGCAGCAGAAATGTGTGGGAGACAGTCGGCCTATCCGCACAAACAAACCACCATCTGCTGAAAACGTTATGCTTCTGAAAACTCTGAGAATTACTTAGCTTTGTTTTCATTGTGTCAACATAATGAAGATACAGTTACTCTACAACTTCGCGAGCAATCCCATCCCTCTACGCTCCTTCTTGCCTCTTCTTCAACACGTACTGAATAACAGCATCTATTTTCTTTTAAGTTTCCAGTAGTTGTAAATAGAGGTAGCTGAGCTACTATTAAAAATCACGTTATGCTTTGAAGAGGAGGAACCTTTCAAATGTTGAAGTTACCCCTTAGCTGCACAATCTCTATTAATACTATAAAAATATGAGAGGACAAAAAGAAAATAGATGCAAGTAACTTTTGCATTTGGCACCTTTTGTCTAGATATTCATACTTCTCAAGTATTCTCTTTTTAATAAAGTTAATGCACACATAGGACACACCACATCAAAGGTTTGCTACATATTTACAAGGCACCAACCCTTTGTCACTTTTTACATGAATAAAGAACCGATAGAAAGCACATCAGGACCCCCGTAACTGTATAGAAGTATAGACATACTTCAGTTCAGCACAATTCATGAACGTTTGGCCTGGGAAGATTAAAATAATCCAGATCCTTCTTACAATATAGAAACTGTAAACATTTTATAGCTGCCTTTAGGATTGGTGTATTGTGCAAAAGTTATAATTATTACTGTGTATAAGGATTTATGGCAGAAACCACATAAAAACTCTGTAAGAAGGTGCTATTTCTATAATACAAAAACAAAACAAGGGAGAGAAGTCATAATCGTGACTCAAAATGTCATGTTCTTACTGAGAAGCTGGAAGCCTCTTTAATGTGATGAACTAGTAGTGTGTGGGGAAGAATTTTTGTAATTTAAGGCCTAATGAATAAGGCTTGTTTTGACCAATGAAGTGTGGCGATCTGAAGTTTTAAAACAAACGCAAACTGACATAATGGAAAAGCACCACTGTGAAACGTGAGTGGAGTCCCCGCACAACTTGCTTGGTAGATTTTCTGGTAAAATCCCTGCAGTAGAAGGCCATTGAAGTTCTTTTAAAATTGTTCCAAAGTTTTTCATCTGTCAATAATTCCATCCCATGAGATGGCTGACCCTGGCTTTTTCTGTCATTTTCCGCACCCTGCCTGACCTGGAAGTACCAAGGTTCAAAGGATCCTCGGTGTGCACAAAATTATCATTATCGGAATCGTCATTGTACAAGACAGTTCTCCTGCCCTCATTCCTTGTTTTGATTCGAGGCGGTCTACTGAATCGCCCTCCAAACACGTTTTCACCAAACTGTCCTCCAAACAGATTTTCAAATTCATCGTCGGTAATTCGGGCACGTTTCGCTCTGGTGGCTCCTCGCGAGGCTCCTCGGCCTCCTCGGCCTCTTCTTCCTCCCCTGCCGCCACCTCTTCCTCTGCCACAGCCTCTTCCGCCTCTACCACCTCTTCCCCCTCTACTCCATCTGCCCCACCTCCCCCATCTACCTCTCCTCCCTGTCCCTCTGCCCTGCCAATTCCGTTTCCCACCGGTGATTTTTCTTTTGATTTTTCTTTTGGGTTTTTTGGATTGCACAACTTTGCTGTAGTCATGGTCTCCGTCAATGTAATCCTGATCCGTTCTAGATGTCGATTCAGAGTCTGAATCAGAGCCACTTCTGCTTTCAGAACTTGAACTGGATCCCGATTCCCCACTTTCTGATGAAGACAAACTGGATTTTTCCTTTAATTCTCTCTTCTTCTTTTCCTCTTCCTCCGCCTCCTCCAGATGCTCATCTTCTTCTGATGCGCTTAACAACTTCCTCTTGACTCCTGAACGAGGTTCTCTGCCATCACCATTTGTAAGCGGTCCATCAGGAGAGTGATCTAAGCAAACACAAAACAACCCTATCAGTTATCATCATCACGCCTGAGCCAAATAGGGTACAAAAAGTGGGATTCGCCTCATCTGCCTCTGAGGTGTGCTCTGGGGATGATCCGGCTCTGAGCTACTCACCACAGACGACCTTTATATGCTGTGGAGACAAACAGGTGCTCTAAGGGGAAAATTTATCAGACAAAGTAAACACAGTTCATCTTATCTGGAAGCAAGGACTGCAAACTCTCTTGACTAAGAGTTCAGTGAAGATCCAGCCAATAAAAGGAGCCTAGAGTGACTAGGTTAGACACAAACGTCTAACATTTCGTCAGATGAATCCTACCTAGGGTGCCAAGGCAGAAAAAACTCTAAAATCCATTTCAAACCTATATACATTAAAATAACATTCTGCAAGCAGTATTTATTCACCATCAGATGCGTATTCTCAAATGGCTTAGTCCAGGGAACGCTTGCAGCAAGCACAATTTC